GTGTGTGTGTGTGTGTGTGTGTGTGTGTGTGTGTGTGTGTGAGAGAGAGAGAGAGAGAGAGAGAGAGAGAGAGAGAGAGATTATATAGATTCTCTAAAATGTTACCAGCATTGTAATGAATAACATAAAACATGTGTAGAATCCCCTTTTTTTCTGTCTTTTTGAGTCAGGGTCTTCCTGTGGCCCCAGCTGGCCTGGAACTCACTATGTAGAGATCCATCGGCCTCTGCCTCCTGAGGGCCAGGATTAAAGGTGTGTGAGATCAAGCCCAGCTTCTAGAACCACTTAAATTTTTTTTCTGATTTATTTATTTTTATTTTATGTGTAAAACATGTGTAGAATCCCCTTTTTTTCTGTCTTTTTGAGTCAGGGTCTTCCTGTGGCCCCAGCTGGCCTGGAACTCACTATGTAGAGATCCATCGGCCTCTGCCTCCTGAGGGCCAGGATTAAAGGTGTGTGAGATCAAGCCCAGCTTCTAGAACCACTTAAATTTTTTTTCTGATTTATTTATTTTTATTTTATGTGTATGAGTGTTATGTTTGCATATAGGTGAGGGCACCCATGTCATGCAGTGCCCATAGAGGACAGAAGAAGGCGTCGAATCTGGTGGAAGTGGAGTTACAGACAGTTGTTAGCCACCATGTGGGTGCTGGAATTCGAACTCAGGTCTTCTGTAAGAATAGCCAGTGCTCCTAACCACTGAGCCACTTTTAATCAATTCTCCACCTGAGTAGTAATTTTGTATCCTATTACTGTAAGTCTGTGCACACATGATTTCTTTCACACAGAGAGACTTCCTGATAACTTAGAGCAGTCAGACTCCCTCTCCATGAAGCTCAAGCCCAGACAATGGATCTTGGTGGTGTTTTCCTGACTTGAAAGGCAAAGGTTCCTGACACAGCAATTTATATGTAGGTGATCTTCAGATCTTTCTAGTTCTGGCAAAATCTTCCACTCAGTCAGACAACAGAAAGTGAACAGCAGTTAACATTGTTGTCTAACTGCATAGTAGTAGCTTATACCTAACTCTCAAATATGGAACTTGAGAACTTGACTGATAACCTTCCCAAGCTGAACTCTGAGAAAGTCAGCCTCAGCAATCACTATGACCACAAGTGTCCAGAGACCTGTCACTTGTACTACTTGCAGTCCTGAGAGGGACCACAGTCTCAGCGGTACAAAGTGGTGCATGGGCAGGGCACTTACATATATCTGATCATTCCCGAAGCGCTTCTGAATTTCATACAGTAAGCTGCCATCATTGAGCTCACTGAGTGTGGCAAGGTCATCGCTGGGAGCAGGAGGCATGAGCTGAACCTGCAATCAAGGTAAAGATCAGCTTAACCAATGCTAGTTACTTTCTGATAAACCTTTACAGAGATATGTTCCAGTGTCAGCTGCATGTCAGATATCTGAAGACCATGTGAGCTGGGAACCGTTGTTAAAAGATGAGAAGTCTCAATGAAGACGAAAAGCATTCAGATGAAAATCTGTATTCTATACCAAGTGACACCACACACACACACACACACACACACACACACACACACACATATCCCTTGCAGAAACCTTGTGCTGATGTCCTTATGCCCATGAAGATAATTTCTAATATGTTAACACCAACCCCATTCTGGAACTGTAAGTCAGATCTGTGTGGACTGAGTCATTGGTGTGGTCAGCCGACAAGCTCACGTTCTTGTAGTACCCCAAAGTTCATCCTGTGGTACTTTTGCTGCAAAGAGGTAATATGTGTAGTATGTGTGGAATTCAGTTCTTACCTCCACAGAAACTAGGGTCAGGTCTTAGGGGTAGACTCCAGATCTGGGGCTTGTGATTTTTATTTTGTTTAACATTGCTTAATTAATGCTTAATGGAGATTAAGGTATTTGTGAGATTAGGGTAACTGTCAGGAGGAAAATATTTCAAATAAAAACCAGAATGTGCAAAAGAGCAATGCTTGATCTTATGGATGCAAGACGTTCTCTAAAAGTTGACATTTGTTGGAACAGAGCAGCTTTGACTTTCTAACGTCAAACAGAAAAATAAAAGAGCAAGACTGATCTGTGACTGGTCCAGTGACTTCCAGGAAATACACAGTAAATTTTAAATGAAAGCGAACACGCTTGTGTGATTTGTATTTGTTTGTGCTCCATGTTTCTGCTTGTGTTTTATATTTATATTACACAGTGCATTATTTATTGACTGTCTCATTACTGAATAATTTAAATATAATTGCTACTGTTTATCAGTTAAATACTTACAGAGTGAAAGTTATTGCACATTTTAAAACATGAAATTTAGGACTACTTTCCATTATTAGTGTATATTTTGTAAGACAAAATCTTCTCCATCAGTTTAGAGAGATATTCCACTGTTTTCCCAGGCAGTGTCTCTCTCTAATGCAGTAGTAGCAGAAGCAAATTCCCAATAGTAGCATGTTTGCTAATTTAAAAACCAATTTGCATAATATTTCTGGTTTCAGAAATGTCAACCATCAACCACCTGTCCCCAAGACTCACAAACTCAACTAAGCATCCAGAGGATCGTATTTTCTCCATTCTTGCAGTGTTTTAAAAGAATTGTATTTCAAAATATCTTCCAGACTCTACCTATTCAGAGTACATAGCAGTCTTACTGAAACCGCTTATTGGTGTTGGTTTAAGGATATAGTTTTAAGACTTTTTAACACTGTCAGAGACACCTAGGCCTAAAAGTCTTATCTTAGGGTTGGAAATTTTGAAAATAAAAATGATAATAATTAAAGAAGAGGTCAGGAAATCAGGGGGGGCACGTGAGAGGAGTAGAAGGGGACAGGGAGGTGTAGAGATGATATAAATACACTACTCATGTATGAAATTCTAAAACACAATTAAATTTAAATTTAAACAAAAGATCAGGTAAAAAAAGACAACAAAACAAAAACAGAAGTCAGAGTGTTTCAGCTTTTCTACTTTTTTCTGGGTTGTTAAAGGAATTTGGGGATTGTATGGTGTGACAGTTAATTTTTGTGGCCAGTGTGATCAGATCTAGCATGAGCTGAGGAATGCGTCTGAGCAGGTCTGTGAGGGTGTCACCTGGAAGGATTAACTGAAGAGAGAAGACTCTGCCTTTGGTTGGACAGTGCCTTCCGGTGGCAGCCCAGATACATGGAGATAAAGAAGGAAGTGCAGGACTGCCTTTTCCTACCTCACCTCTGCTCCTTGATGGTAAGTGCATCTGCTCTATTGCTGCTGTGATTGCTGCCATCTTTCACTGACACTGGAACCCAGTTTCTTCTGCCCCCCAGTGTGTGTTGAACACCAGCAGCTCTCCTGGAAACCTTCAGGCCTGCAGTATCAACCTGGGACTGCGGAGGCATCCAGCCATGTAGACAGCAGCTGCCAGTTCTCAGCTTCTCCAGTGTGTAGTGGGCATTTGTTAGACTATCAAACCATATCATGGAAGCCAACCTCATAATCCCATTTCATATCTTTATTCTGTCTGTTAAGTTCCTTCAGAGAACCTTAATACACACGGAATGAGACGCTTAACGTTGGCACTCTTAGTTTCTCTGTGCAGGGTCTGACAGGCATAGCACAGCCAGGTGGGCAGACCTTGGGGACAGTGACCAGCCTTGGAGGAGTACCAAGCAGTTCCCTCCATCTGTGCAGCTGACCATTCTGAGCTCCTCAGCTGTGCTGACTCAGGTAGATCTCTGGGTCTCTAGTCCGTGTCTCCCTACTTTGAGTGTTAAGCTTCTACCTCATCTAAGTCTCGGCTATCCATCACTGTCATTATCCTCGGTGAACAGCACTGAAATCCCACTTGTGAATCCCCCTAGCTGTGAGATCTTGATATTTTTCTATTTTAACATCATGAAACTGCTTTTCCTTTTCTGTGAAATGTTATAAATACTGATGTGTGCTCATTTGGTGATTGCAAGCATTAAATTCACATGAACGACTTGGGCCAGTGCATTTCCACATCTGAGTGTGTGTCACTGGGGTGTATATTCATATAGGGTCCCATAACAATGGCCTCTCTGCCAGCTTTGCTAAGGGATGCCCTTGAGTGGGAAGGGAGGTAGGCAAGGGTGGACAGTCCTCTTGTTAAAGAAGTTACCCAATGACGATTAAAGAGTTGTGAAGCTTTCTTAGGATTTATTTGGACCACAGAGGAGGCACAGACATCATTGTCTGTGTTGGGATCTTGATGTGGGGAGGATAGTGTCAAATAATTGACAGGGAAGTGGGAGTTAATGACCAAAAAACAGGAGGGGGTCAGCAGTGGGGGAGTCACTAAGTGGAGACATACGGGGCTAGAGGGAACTTGGATAAATGTATGTAACAACGAGACTCTTGTTAAAGGTAGGCTAGAGTGATTAGATCCCACATGGGTAAAGGGCGGAGGCGGAGGAGCTTGATCCGGAGCATAGGGGGATCACAGACTGAAAAAGGGAATAGAGTCAAGGTGACTCTTTTCCCCACAGTTGGCATATTAGTTACTTAATTTTTTCCATTGTAACCAAATACCTGAGAAAAAGCAACTTTAAGGAGGAAGGGCTTATTTCTGTTCACAGTTCAGAGTAATGTAGTCTATCAAGGCTGACAGGGAAGTCGTGGCTGTGGGAGGAGCTTTGTCCCTGGTGCTTCAGGGGAAGCAGATATAGGGGGAATCTAAAAAAAATAAGCATACATGGGAAAAATGCATTTTCTAGAAAGGAAAGGATTTCAGGGAGAGGTCCTTCTATGGAGAGATTGATGAAAGGAACCTTATTCATTGGTTTCTTTTAAAAATGTATTTATTGGGGCTGGAGAGATGGCTCAGTGGCTAAGAACACTAGCTGTTCTTGCAGAAGCTCCGGGTTTGAATCCCAGCACCCACACAGCAGCTAGCAACTGTCCCTAACTCCAGTTCCAGGGGATCCGACGGCCTCTTCTGTCCTTCGTGGGCATTGCACGATGTGAGTGCACTTACCTACATGCAGATAATACATTCATACACATAAAAATAATAAATAAAATATTTTTAAATGTATTTATTATTTTTATTTATGTGTATGTGTGTGCCTGTGTGAGTTTATGTGCATCATCACATGTGTGCAGGTGCCTGAGAGTGTTGATCCTCTGGAATCGGGGTTACGGAAAGTTGGGAGTCACCTGATGTGGGTGCTAAATAATGAACCTGGGTCCTCTGTATGAGCAGTATGCACTTTTAACCACTGAGCCATCTCTCTAGTCCCTGTCATCAGTTTTTCTATTTTTAGTGTATTTGTAAGAATTTCCCTAAAACATAAAATCTCATGCAAGATATAGATTCTCCCAAAACCATGAATTTGGGTATGTATGTAGACACAGAGATTAAAATGCATATATGATATGCTGGATGCATATAACATGATATATGTCAATAATATGACTGCAAGAACTATGAACATTTCAAAAAATAAGGCCAAAACCTTCTGCAGATTAGTATACATTTTACACTCCCCAAACAACCATAAAAAATTAAAATCAAGTCACACCTTATACCAAGGTAATAAAATCCTCTTATGCCCAATGAAAAGGCTAAAGCTCTGATTCCAGTCTGCCACAGTTAGACAAAGCATATCTAGTTTTGACGGACAACCCATAAGAACCTTCCTTTCCTGGAATTCTGTGAGTTTTAATCCCTAGAGGCACAGCTGCATTGGGGAGGTGGAGCACTAGAGTGATCTTAGAAACAAGAGCATGCTGCTTATAGTAGCACAGTGCAACAAACGCAGCGTCAGAGTCAATCAGGGACAGGTAAGCTCAGCACAGTGCAAGAAACGCAGCGTCAGAGTCAATCAGGGACAGGTAAGCTCAGCACAGTGCAACAAACGCAGCGTCAGAGTCAATCAGGGACAGGTAAGCTCCTTGGACTTATGTCAAGATTCTAAAATGCTCACAAAAGGAACTCTGGCATTTCTAAGCAGCATTTTCAAAGGCATGAATTCTTTACAAAGATTTACTATACACAAGGGGATCGTTGATATATCATTTGAAAGGAAACAGATGCAACTGGAGCCAAAGTGGGTCACTGAAATATTCATTTGTCTAATTACCAATTTGATAAGCCTAGCACTTACAAAAACCAGGAAGGAAAGACGCTAAGTGGGTTTTGTTTTAATTGTCAAATGTTTTTCTATACGACCTATTTATAAAATGTTACCGAGAACTTTGTTGCTTTGGGGAGTCCCCTCTAAGGCCTTCCTACGTTATGTGACTGCATGATCCACATAGAGACAGCATTGCCTTTCAAGGGAGGGCCATCTAGCCATTCACTGCTGAGAATGTCTGTGAGCATGAGGCTTGGCAGGGGGAGATCCAGATGGGTCTAGACAGGTGTTATAGCTCATGAAACCTGAATCTTCACCATGCCTTTCAAGAAGGTAAGTTACAGAAAATGGTTATAATATTTTTGATATCCAGGAAGCAGAAGCAATGACACTAAGACCACGGAAACCATCATACAAGGACTCCACCTGATGCTCTGAGGCTGGCAATATCTTCTTATTTTTGAAGGATGTTTTATATCTTCCAGAAACAGCATGTTAAATTGTCACTTAAAAGCTATTAATTTGCTAGACAGAAATCATTTTGACTCTGCAGAGGAAAATACCTCCACACCTTGATGAAAGAATGGGCCAAGTTTGTGCTTCTTTAATTAAATAAGAATTTATTGCTGTATTACTGCCAGGCTTGGGTAAATATTTAATAGCCTAAAGACAAATTAATACTAGCAGATAATAACTCACATATAGACAGTGACTACAGGTCATACAAGGATTATAACTGTATCATAATGATTTTAACTGTCAGAAAATATCAACTGCAGGGTAGCTAACCACACTGAGAGTTTCTACGTATTTCTATAAACCAATTAAGAAAATACTTCAAAGCATTGCCTATAAAATGATTCCTTCCCAAACATTTAAAATTCCTTTGATTTATCTAAAGTAATCTGTATAAAATTTAATTATGAAAAGAAGGTATCCTGGGCAGATTTAACTGTCAACTTGCTATAAAGTAGAATCATCTGAGAAGACAATCTTAATGGGAAATTGTCTAGATCAGATTGGCCTGTGGGCATGTCTGTGAGGGGTTGTCTTAATTATCATTTGATGTAGGAAGACGCAGTCCATTGTGGAAGGCACCACACCTTGGTCAGGGGTTCCTGAAGAATACAAGAGAGGTGAGCGCTACCTAACTGAGAGCAGGAATGCAAGGATGTGTATATTCTTTGCTCTTGACTGTGGACGTGACGTGACTAGCTGTTTGAGTTCCTGCCTTGACCTCCCCAAATGATGGATTGTAACTTGGAACTTTAAACCAAAGAAACCCCTTTCCCCCCTAAATAGTTTTGTCAGAGTATTTTATCACAACAACAGAACTGAAAGTTGAACAGGGGGTATTTGAAAACCTGCCTAAAGAAAGGTAATTGAATTAGAGACATTGAAGCCAAAGGGTTGCAAAAAAGAAAATTTCTCTATCATTCTCAAATCACTAAACACATAAAATTATTTACTGCTGTCACAGTGAAAGATGATTTCAAGTTTATCTCCCCCCAAACACCAAAGTGATCACCCATAAACTTGGCACTGGGGCTTATGTTCTAGTACACATATACACATACATACACACACACAATTACATACATATACACACATACATATATGTATATACACATATGCACATGTGTATACACACATAAACATATGCACACATACACATGCATGTACACATACACAAAAACAGACACACATACATGCGTATACATACAAACCCACATACATGTACATACAAACTGCCACACATACACATATACACAAACATACCCACATATGCACACACACCACACATACATACACACATACACATATACATAAATATACATACACACATACAGACACACACATAAATATATACATATATACATACACACATTCACATATACACATATAAACTTACACACAAACACATACACCACACAGATACAAACATACACACTCTACCACATGCAGCTGCATGCATACATATACACACACATCATACACATACATGCACATACACTGCAACATCGTAGCTACTTTTAAAGAGAAAAGTATTTCTTTGACCATCTTATGTTTATTTGGATAGTTGGAAGAAACAGGAAACAGACTACTTAATAATCAAAGAGAGCTAGAAACATCCAAGAGTCACTATGTTGGCAAATGAACAATTAATTCTGAAGTTCATATTGCTCCAAAACTAGTGAGCAACTGTGTTGCTCCATGATCTGTACATGGCTCTCAGTATAGGCATTTTAAACCGTACCCTAGGCTATGAACTCATTGTCAGTCTCTGAATGGGAGATAACAGACACTGGTTTTGAACTCAGTTGGGTTTGGGATGTGCCCTGTACCCTCAAAGGAAGAGCGCTCACACACATTTGGTGCCTACCTGCTCAGGCTTGCTGCCACCATTCACGGTTGTGTTCTCAGGGGTGCCTTCCTGGGACTGTTGCTTGCACAGACCCTTTGTTGCATCTTTGAACATGATGTCTTTTTCCAACAAGCTGTCTTGCTTGGCAATTGGTAGCACCAGGGGACTGCTACAAGAAACAATCAATACTATAATTAGTTTTCTTCTAACATTGCTGTATCAATCAAAAGCTACCAGAGAGCTTTAGGTGTTAACTCAGATAAAACCACTTTCTGTAAACTGCAGGAAACCTGTAAAGCTTCCTTTTAATTCTACATTTTATTCAATGTCACCTCTGAAAGGAAAAAAAAATACATTCAGCTACAAAAGAAAATATTTACAAAGATGTATTTAATTGTAATAGAAAAATCAGTAAGTAATTTAAAGCTGTTTGAAATGCACAATGAACAACTGAGTACTACATTTAAATGTGAAAAGGGATTGCAAATAAGTGAAGGAAGTTACAAGCATTTGATTAAAATATAATGAATACAAGGTCACGTGTGATGGTGCACACCTTTAATCTCAGCACTCTGGAGGCAGAGATAGGCATATATCTCTGTGAGATCAAGGCCAGACTGGTCTTACAAAGAAAAATTCTAGGTCAGCTGAGGTTTCAAGGAGATCCCATCTCAAAGAAACCATATATAAATAAACATGTGTGTGTGTGTGTGTGTGTGTGTGTGTGTGTGTGTGTGTGTATATCTCTGTGAGATCAAGGCCAGACTGGTCTTACAAAGAAAAATTCTAGGTCAGCTGAGGTTTCAAGGAGATCCCATGTCAAAGAAACCATATATAAATAAACGTGTGTGTGTGTGTGTGTGTGTGTGTGTGTGTGTGTGTGTGTCCTGATTGGCTGGTTCCTCCAATGGGCGGGGCCTGACACAAGCGGGAAGTAGGAAGGGAAGCTGGGAGCCATCTTGAGAAGGAAGCCAGGAGCCGCCGGTAGAGCGTGATGGTGTAGGAAACTCGCAGCCAGTGCAGCAACTCAAAGACAGAATGGACTGACTCCCTGTGGACCTGGGGTGAGAGTGCTGACACGGGAGGTGTGAGCGAATGCTAGTGGGGCTATGGGCATGGCATGGTCTGATAAGGTGGGCTCTGAGTCACAGTGGTGGCACTGGGCTAGGCACTGGGTACTCATTCCTTTGTAAGTTAATAAATACACATGAAATATACTATATGGTTTGTCTGATTGCGTAGGAGACCCAGAGAGAATTCAAGCCACAGATGTGAATTTTCATCAATGAAGCTCCCTCATGTTAACAGAGAGCCAGGAACACAAAAGGTCATAACTGGCCAACGTGTGTAGAAGAGTCTACAGAGTATCTGTCCATGGACAGGACTCTTAAACTCTACCCACGCAGGTATTAAGGACCATTGCATAAGAGAGGGCAGAAAGATTGTAGTAAGAGGCAGAGAGGAGGTGCATGACCATATGGAAACAGAGTCCTACAAGTTTCTGAGACCTTTCATATGAACCTATAGCAAAGGTGTCAGCATGCACAGGGCCCATGCAATGGCCAACGTGCATAGAAGAAGAGTCTACAGAGTGTGTGTCCATGGACAGGACTCTTGTATTATACTCTACCCACCCAGGTATTAAGGACCATTGCAGAAGAGGGGGCAGAAAGATTGTAGTAAGAGGCAGAGAGGAGGTGCATGACCATATGTAAACAGAGTCCTACAAGTTTCTAATACCTTTCATATGAACCTATAGCAAAGGTGTCAGCATGCACAGGGCCCATGCAAACTCAAGCAAACCAGACCCCAGCACAGAACTGTGGAAATGGGCAACAAGCCCCAATCTTAGTCGAATAATCATTGGCAGCTGATTACTGCTGGGTGAGGAAGAGCTGATCTTCTTAAAGGGAGGGGCTTTAGATAGGGTTGACTAGACCTCAGTGGATGAACTTGCACAGAGGGACGTCTGGGGACACTAACTCAACATGATAGGCTTTAACACAAGTGACAGAAATCATCAATTCCAGTGCTGGAGAAGGAGGGGTGGGGTGGGCTATGGGCAGTTACCAATGGGTAAGGGGGTATAAAGATGGAAATAAACAAAATTCAATAAAATATTTACAAAAATGAATCAGAAAAACAAAATGTCAAGGACTGACATATTATAAGCAAAATAAATTTTCTTACAAATAGCTCATACAAGGCAAAAAAGATAAATAAAAGTTAGTTTATCACTTTTCTTTCAAAAGTGCACTGTGAAAACACAGCCATTATTTTCTAAAGCTCGTACCAAACAGACACAATATAAAGGTTGAATTTCCATCGTTATGGGGGGGTGCGTGCTCTCTCTGGGTGCACTCCCTGGAAGGCACTCCCCTGCCATGTGTCTGGAGGAGAGCTGGTCTGGTCCTGTTGGCTTCTCCGTGTCTCTATGGGCCTCAGGCGTGGTGTGCATGGATATCTCGGGGTGCTCTGGGCCCCTGGATCTCGGGGACCCTGCCACACCTGGCTAGTCGCTGGCGGGTCTGGCCACAGGCGTCTCTGGCCACAGCTGCGGATGCCCCATAGGCTTCTCCCGGCGGCTCGGGAGGCGGCTCGAGTCCCGAGTCTCTGGTGCAGACAGCTTCCTCTGCTACTGAAGCATTGTTCAGCCGAAATCCTGTCTCTATTTCACCCGTGTACTATTCCTCAGTATGCGAGGTTCCTGGCCACAGAACCACGCAAGGAAGAGTAAGGAGAAGGTGAAAGCTAGGGTGTCCATAAGCCAGTCACGAGGGAGTGCGCCCCCCGGAGAGACTGGGCGGCAGGTAATGACACAAGACTCAGGTCTTAGTCTGTGTTACAGCTTTATTCTCTGAGACCCGGCTCCCTGTGTCCCAGCTCTCCGCGACCCAGTTCTCTGCAGCCTGAACCTCTGCAGCCCAATTCTCTCACCATTAAGAGAAGACTAAGGCATTTATACCATGGGGGTAGTGGTAAAAGCTTTGGCTGTTAGATGCTTTGTGAGGCATTGTATTTACATATGGAAGTGGATTTCTGCCACACTGCTAGACTGTTGTCTCCCTGGAGAAATTACAGGAAGGCATGGTACCTGTTAGAGCCAAAGGCCATGTTTATGTTATGGCATTTGTGGCGGACACTTCAAAAGGAGAGACAGGAAAGATGCCAGGAAGA